AAAATGTGTGATCTCTCTCTCTCTCTCTCTCTTTCTCATCTTTTTATTTATACACATTCAATTGCGCGCACATATATTAATTTTCAAAAATTTTTGTATTTCATTATCATCATAATTTTGAAAATTTTTCATTATCCTGAATCTATCATTTATCTTATTATCTAAGCATTTCAAAAAATTTGTTCTCAATCAAAGAGCGCTCAATAAATAATATAATACATTCTCTTTCTCTTTCTTTCTTCATGTTTTCAACTCTATTATTTCCTAATAATTGATTTTTTATAATTGTTTTACACTCCATTTTTTTTAACTCATCCAACGCTGTTAAGTAAGAGTTATTTTTAGCAGAGTTGCCCTATTCTGAGTTAACTGATTCGACTTTCACCATTTTAAGTTTTTTTCTGCTGAATCACTCCCAACAAATTTACAATCCTTTCGCTGTCCGTTCTTCTCGTAATATTATCCCTTATGGTCAATCTAAGGATCAATTTCTTGTAGCTATACTTTCTAATTTTATTGTTGACCTATTACTGTTACCATTTAGCTGTCTATTATTATGTGACAGTAGAAATGGTTATTAAATAATTTTTTGTGTTCCTAAATCCTATACACGATTTCTAATTCAAACATTTATCACTCTAATGTTACTATAAGTTTTTAGATGCATTTTTTCGCTGGTATTTGACAATATTGATTTTTTTCCCTTCAATATGTCTCCTCTTCAATATGTCTCTAAGTATATGTCTCCGAATATAATTTGTAAATAAAAAATTAACGACTATAGAATAAATCAAGATTCTCTTTTATATTCGCCCTAGCATTTCTAGTACTCTAAATGCTTACTCACGTCTGCGAAACACTTATAACATTCCGTTTCGCTTATATATCGTCTATAATGCTCGCATTTCGTTTCGCCTAAACATTTTGTAGTGCCATGTGTTCGGATACATATAAATAAAAGGAAAAGTCTATTGTTTCTGTTTTTTGTTCAGTAAAACAATAATTCTTTGTATATACCATTTCTTATAATTACTTTAGAAACGTACTCCGAATTTCATTTAAGTTAATTTAGACGATGCTTATGTAGTAATTATCATTTTTCCAATTAATTCGTAGAAAGAAATCTAAGATTATTTTTATCATCGCATTCTCGCTTTTACACCTATTTACTATTATCATTTAAGAAAAAAGAGAGATTTAAAAAAAAATGTACGTGTGAAACGAGAGCTAATATTGAATGGGAACTTTTCTTGGAAGAAACTAGTTTCGTTTTCGTGGACATATTTTTTAACCAAATGGCACGCTCCGTATACGTGCCTATTGCGGTAAATTTATGATAATCGTCTTCTCTATCTGCCGGGGACGCTCTATCTTCTCTGAACTTGCCTGCCTCTTGTGGCGAACCACATAAGTAACACTAAACGGCCTGCGTTGTCTGATTGCCGATCAGTGTATCTTAAGTAGTTTATAAGAAGTTTGCAAAACAGACACTATTTCACTGCTTAAACATCAAAAAAGATTCGACAAAAACTACCTCAGCGCAAACGGTATTGATAAACAAACGTCCTTTCCAGAGCAAGAATGAAATAGATCCATAAATTGCAAATAACTAGGAAATAAGTATAATGCCTCTATAAAATCCAGAACTAATAACTCATAATCAAAATTAATTGGCGGAAAAAACAATATGTTTGAAAAATGTAATAATTTAACTAAATGTAACAATACCAAATACAGTATCTTTTTTAAGACGGTAATGTGAATACACAATAAATCGAAAAAAGTCCCTGAACGATCAAGCTGGATCTTCAACGGTTAAATAATTCCGTGTGAATTTATATACTATATATATCTATTCCAAAAATATAATAAATCTGAAAATAATTATGTACAAAGTATGATGAACAATGCTGCAAAAAAATTTGGATTCTAATAATCAATATAAAATAATAATTTTAAGACTTATGATTTGCTTTATCGATCTAACAATCAGCTCAACATCCTACATAATTTTTTCAATAAGTTTAACAAAATTATTTTCAGATTTATAACTGTAGTTAAATTTTTATATTTCAACAAAATTTGTTCATATGCTTACTTTAAAACAAGAATCCAGCAGTTGATCAATTCTTAAATATTCGTATCAACAATAGTTGACTAATTCATTATCCGTCGGCAATAAACGTCGTTTAATTGATGAATGAGATATATTTATCGGATAGATATGACGCCGATTACTGTCTATTATTGGTCCTCTAGAACCTTTATTAAGACTCAAATTGATATCCCAGCATTGTCGCTTTTCCTTCGCGTCATAAACATTAAATGTGTCTCTTCGTGGTATACCTCAGATTGTTCAATAATACATATTAGACGACAGAAATCGTTATCTCGGCGTAACCGATAAGCGGCGTCATCTATCATAAAGTTGTGTATATGCGTGCTTCGGCATCACGTGAACGAGACAGTCGAGCCGCGGGGAGCCGAACGAAAGAGGAAGAACTCTCGGACGATGCGACGATATTTCTTCTATGTTTCCCATTAATAGTACGAACGGCGATAGGCACGTAATTGGATTGGCGCTTATATCAACGTGGGGAAATAAATTAATTAGGATCTGGGGAAAACTGTGACACTTGTTTTGCCCGGCGTGGCGTGGCGCGTGATAAGCAACGCTATACCGGGGAGGGGGACAACATTACAAAATACTAATTACGAAATATTTGCGTAACGCAACGATGCGCGTATAATGTAATTAACTCCATTATACATATATACATAATTATCAATATTGAAAATGGAATGCGCGACCGCAATCTCATAATTTCACTTGGTTTTTTTAGTTGAACGGTGTATTTATATACATGTCACTCATTTGCTATTACATAACATTGACATCTTTTAGTTGCTTGCAGAAAAAAGCAGAAAAAAAGAAAGAATGTACTTTTGTTCCTCTGCAGTCATTACATCAACATTGCATTTCAAAACTAATATTACAAAATTTTAATAATTTAAAACATTGAAATTTATTTTTCGGTAAACCTTGTTTTCTAAGTTGCATCGCTGTTGTAGCAAATAAGCAACATGAATATTGAATAGTCGACGATGTTAGAAAAATCACCTATCAGAAGATTCGAATTCGATTCCCAAACCTATCACTCCGCACAGATAACTTTAATAGGATAACTTTAATATATTTTCTATAATAAAACTATCATAAGCGAAACTATACCATTGAGAAAAACAAAGTCTGCAAAATATGAATTTAACTTCAAGATAATTAAAGATAAACAAAGGAATACTGTATTGTCCTTCACAGAATAATAACCATCAAACAATAACAATAAATAATTTTAAAATCAAGCTCGGATTTTTGGAATGGGGGCTAGAAAAGCTTATAATACACACAACTCTTTTTCATAAAAATTATAATAAAACTAGTTTAAAAGTTTCGATTTGTATCAAAGCAGTGTTGATGATATAATTGTTGCTGATTGAAATTGATGACTTTAGAAACATAATTATTGCGCTTTTTCCCGCATAATCAGGCATCATCCGATAACATTCGAAAAAATATGTTTAATGTACTTTGACATATTGCTGAATTTATTTGAAATCTGTCTTTTATTGTATTTCTAGAATACACTAAAACTTCCTTCTTCGCATTCGCCAAAAATGCCAAACATACGTATCTATTCCACTTTAAGTTTCAAAAGTACATATATACCTAGTTTAGCTACACAGAGAATAAATCTAATATAAATACATAAAACTTTCAAAGTGGTTTCTCCAAACAAATAACCTTCTCTTATAAATATGTATTATTATATTTTCTGTGTTTACGCTTCGATCTCGCGTGATTTGTGATAAGAAATGTAAATGATAATTTATCTGTATTGAATGATTTTCACGTAAATAAATTACTACGCTATAAACTTGATGTGAATATAATTATATCTACAAGTCATTTTACCGAAATTTTTAGACACTTAAGCTGAATGTTTAACGTGATAAAATACATATAATCGGTAAACTAAGGTCAAGTGAGTTTTCTAAATCATTTGGCTCTTGAATGATCTTAACTTCCAAATATAAACATTTATCGACAATCAGCGCTCTTTTTCATATTGAACAAAATGAATATTTTTATTCGAATAACATTTGACCTTCGCTAACGTCACAACGCATATAAACTCCAGTTACAAATAAATCATTCGTGGATTTAATTAAACGTATAAAATATATACCGTTTCCTTATTTCAATAATAACACAATTAAAAAAACAATTTTTTTTTTTTCAGAAAAAGGAAAAAATTATTATCTTTTATATAAAACAGAAAACTTTAGACAGAAAATTATTGGTGAATCATGTAATATCGGAGAAAAAAGAATGCATTCTCTCTCTCTCTTAACGTGTCACTTTTGTCATTTTTGTTTCACAATCCTTAAAAAGCCATCCTTTAAGTTGTAACAGTTTTAACAATTTTTTACGAAGTTATACGTTAGCTCACTTTTAATAATTGATGGATATTTACTCAACTTATTCATGTATAATGTGATACAATTCAAAATGTAATTTCACATTTTTTAAGTTGTGTCACTGAAGCTACTAAGAATAAAATCACATGTTTTCGTAGTACTTTCAAATTGCATAAATTTACCATAAAATATCCAATTAAATCTTAGATATCAAAGGTCACGTTAAAGGTTATTGTAGAACAAAGAACACAAATAGCTGAATTATTTTCTAACTGCACATATACAACCTCGGTAAAAAATATTAGGCTCTTATATTTTTTAATTCACCAGAAATTTTCTTACCTGCATTGTTATCTACTGATTACTGGCATTATATAAGTTTAAAGGATCTTTGTAACAAAGAATAATTTACATCAAGTGTCATAAATTAGTTTTTGAAACTTTAAATAATGACTAATATAAGATGCCAAACATTTTTAGCGTATAATAACAATCGTTGTATTGAAAAAAATAAAGCGTACCTCCAGGAAATCTGTGTGGAAAAATTCTACCATGCCTCGAGAGTAACCAAGGGTATAGGGGATAGCTGTCTCTAGGCGGTTGATGAGGATGAGGAGGTGGATGTGGCCCGCCGGGGGTCCCACCATGCGGATAAGGCCCATGTGGCGGTCCATGGGGCGTCGCGCCGTGATGCGCTTGGAGCGCCACCGCGATATTCGCCGCCTGGAAGTGCTGGGCCGCAGCCAAATTGGCAGCTAAAGCCAATTGCTGCGTGTGATATTCATTTTGACCAGTCTGCGGTCCCGCGGGACTGTGGCTGGCTGGTAGTCCATATAGAGACTTGAGCTGCTCCGCGGCCATGACCGCGGCCGTCGCGGCGCTAGGTGGTGGCGCGAGGTAGTTCGGGCTGGGCCTGACCACCCCTGGGGGCGGTTGGGGATGCGACCCGACCGGTGAATCCCCGTGTGGTATCCTGTGCGGCGGACTGGGGCTGTTGTTGGGCGTGGAGCCGCCGCTATGGCTATGAACAGTTGTTCGACTAAAGTCTAGATGTGTCGCTGTCAGATTGTGATGATGCGGAATACCATGGTGATTGGTACCATGAAGGTGATGATGACCTCCTCCGCCGCCGCCGCCGCCGCCACTACCAATAGTGGCGTGCGACGGTGTCCGTCGTGAATTCGGATACGATTCTACAGACGAACTCCTAGAAACTGGTCGATCGGAGCCTTCAGAATGAGCACCGGGCGATCTCGTGGCGACCCGGCGCGACCGCGGCGAGGACGAGCCCTCAACTATCTCCATCGGACTGCCATCGATTTCAACTCGCTCCAGGCGGTCCAGGCGATCCGCCTCACGGCCTCCTTGCCCGCCGCCGACGATCGAGTCGATGCTAAAGCCGATCTTCGGCTTAGAAGGCACCGGGACGATTGGCGTCGGCGCGAGCGGCATCATCGTACGATTATCGTACGCTTCCCAGGTGGACAACCCACTTTGACAGGACCAACGGATCTGTGAACGCTGAATCGTCGGGATTAAGTTCGCCGCATCATCGCGGCCACCTCCAAGCCGCTTTCCTCGAATCAATCGAAGAATTCTGCAAGAACGGAGAACTTGTGGATTTTTTATAAACACTGTTAAATTATCACTGGAACATTCCGATTCCCACCAGAGCGTTCCACTTCTAGAATGAATCACTTCTTCAAAGTCTATATCTCTTCGCACAGTTGCTAAAGTATCTTCGATCTCTCGATAATTATTCTTTCTCAGAATATTAAATTGTTTGTCCCGAATCTTCAAACGATCATCTACGCGATGTCCGTTACTCCGTTAGATCGACACCGGTTGTTTCGGCAGTCACTCGGCGACGGACAATTAAGTCCCAGCCTCTTGTTCACGCATCACTAACATATGACAGATACATACTCGCGTCGTCTCGCGCCGGTGTCGCTAAGCCACGCACCAACGTAACTCAACTGACGTAATCCCGTCGTAATCACGAACGTCGTCGCACTGACTGGAGTCTCACGACACTCACTCGTATGTCACGTTCGACACTCTCCATCGATCTGCTCGCGACACGGACTGACGAGGTTCGACGAGGAAGAACGCCTTCCTGGGTAGAAGGTCGAAAGCAGCAGGCACACGACGCGCTACGTCCTATGAAATTCAGCTCTCGATTACGAGAGAGCTAACACCGAGCGCCAGCTCTCTGACGGATGTTTCTGGCACGAGCGCTTGCTAGTGTTTGAGCAAATTACAGGCTAACGAGGCGCGCTCGCCCCACCGTAGTGGGGGACCACGGTCCGGTGGAACAGCCCAAGCAACCAACACCCCACTAGGACTTCCACCGCCCGAGCGATTCCAACGTCGTCGACGGTATCAACATCAAGTGGAGGCCCCAAGTGGGGGTTTGAATAGGGCGTTGCTCGATATTACGAAGGCGTATACTCGCATCCGATTGGTGAATTTGCTGCGACACGGAAAGCGGAGCTGGATGTGAACACGATCGTGGCTACCAGAGTTCCAGCAAGGTACGTAGAAGCTGCAGTGGGGCGCCGCATTAGTCCGCGATGGGCGTTAAACCAACGTTTTTGTCGTGCGATGAAAATGAGTCGTTTAATTAATACGTCTGGCTCTCGCTCTCGCTTCCACCCACGTTTCCTCGTTTCTCTCTTACCCGCCCCCCGCCCCGCCCCCTACCCCATTCTCCATCTCGTCCATTCCGCCTCGCAGGAGAAACGAGGAGAAGAACTGTTCGTTCGTTTGTGGATTGTACGGCTCTGCTTGCTTCTTCGGCTTTCCTCTCTAGTCTACTGGAGAGCAATAAAATCCCGCCGGAGACACGGGATTCGAATAAAAAGGTGTGAAAAGGTCAAAACAGTAACGATGCTCAGAAAATTACGTTGAAGCAGAGTAGCTTTTTCTTTATATAATTACCGTCTTTATATTCTTTGTACAACGTACTTTTTTTCAATGAAAAGGTACTTTATGTGAAAATGTACAATTTAAAGACTTACACCGAGAAATTGTATACTTTAGCCATTATAATAATTATATTCTATACGAAATGATGTTAAATGAAAATTAATGGGAAGGTAGAACGGTCATCTACATTTAACACTTTGAAAGAGAGTTATTTTAAAGCATAACTATAGTCGAAAGTCTTAAGAATTTTCTTAAAGCGTGAAAATATTTACTAGCGCGATGGTCACTGGTGTCTAGCATTGTATTGAATTGTAATCAATTTCAGCAAATAACATTTGTCATTGAATTAGAGAGAAACATATTTCATGTGATTTTAAGCTAATTTTTCAACCGTACGATCGATTGCAAATTTAGTGAATTCTAATATAATGACAGATTATACTTGGACATTTTTATTCGAAGGACAAGTGAAGATGAGTTTAACTATAAAATTGTAAGTTTCTCTTTTCGTCGTTGACACGAAAATAGTGTATAAATAGATTCAATAATAAAAGATAAATGAGGACTCTGAAGATGGAAAAAAATATTTAAAAAAGATGAAGATCCGTATTTTAATACTTTATTTTATCGATAAATGTGTACACATTTAATGATATGATTTACGTTACGTCTACTATGGAATTTCAGAAATAAATGCGAGCACTTATCAATAAAAGTGAGATGTGAATATAAAAATTAAGTTCTCAACATTAGCTTAAGCTCAGATAGTTATATATAAAGTATTCTCGTACTTTCTACATATTTCTCACCGTGACTAAAAAGCAAAAGATGGGTTTAAAGCAATGGGAAAATCCGAATAATCTCAAAGAGCATTAAGAAAACGAAAAAATAATAAAAAGGAAAAATTAGCTTAAAATAACATGGAATATGTTTTTCTCTAATTCAATGACAAATGTTATTTGCTGAAATTGATTTAAGATTATTGACAAACTATGGATTTTGTACAATAATATTTAACATATGTATGTCTCTTGAAAACTCTAATATTTTAAAACAATTCAATACAATACTAGACACCAGTAACCATCATGCTATTAAATTTTCACGCTTTATTAAGAAAATTCTTAAGACGTTCGACTATGTTTGAAAATAACTCCCTTTCAAAGGTCTGTGTCAAATGTAGAAATCGATCTTGACAGAAAGTCTCTACAGATGATCTTGAAGGCGTGAAAGCGTTTGTTAGCTTATAAACATGTACAACCATATACAAAACATATGTCCATACATTCTTTTTTCTTTTGTAAAACTATTGTTTAGTATATAACAAAAATAATAACAATAATGAGAATACTTGATAAATAATTAAAAATATAATATATGCTATGGAATCACTTTGTGTGTGTGTGTGTGTAGAAGAAGTCTCTTAACATGATTGATTGGATTCACAGGTAAGAACCAATCATGCTCATTCGCCATGCAAGCATGGCCTAGTTGCTTTATCAGCTTGAATCCGCCCAGTATTTTCAGTGTTACACTTATAACTAATAAAATCATCAGCAAATATCTAATGTTTTTTTTAGCAAAAATACACTAATTCACTTTTAAAGAGCCGGTTACAAATAACTTATGTCAACAGATTAATACGTATTTATCGGATTAGAGAAATCTGTATTTATTAAGTTCAAATTTAAATTCATCAATTTCTGTATGCACAAACTATTCCCTAAAATTAATTAGAAAAAAATAATAATCATTTATGAATGCGACACAAAAATTAAATGCTTAACACAAACATAAAATTAATCACACTATATTAAAAGTAGATCACATGTAAATTCGCGTGCGTTTCAAAAACCTTTCGAATCTCGATATTACTCATAGCCTTTCTATGTGATATCGCGATCGCGGGAAATCTAACACCGACGTATATAATTTGATCGACGTTAATTGCACAATTAATTGTAAGACGTCAGCCGACGGCGCGAAATGACACCCCTGTCAGCATGTTGAAAGCGCTCGTGATCGCGGAGCCGTGAAAATCTACTGTCAACCGAGCGAATATTTCATAATTGACGTTCATCTTCGGACGACGTTTACAATCATCGGTTGTAATCAAGCCAACGTTGATCTCAAAACCGCATTGAAAATTAGAACGGATGACGATACGCTCGTTACAATTTACATTGTATTCATACAGGATACTATTCTACAGTGCGGCAATTTCCTTTTATTATATAAATGTTTAATGAATCACATTTGTGTAATTATATATTATCAAGCTAAATGAGTTTGATAAGCAGAAAGATATCAATTTTATTTTTCATTTAAATATTTGTAAGATCTTCAAGCTCAACTAAATCTTGTCTAGAAAGAAATTTATATTCGAAATTTAAGAGAGGTATCTATTAAATCGACAAGAATAGCAAGAATACGTTTTATAATTGGTTTATTTTAAACGTAACGATTTGCTGAAGCTAGAGATGTAGCTGTAAAACATTCGATATTGTTATTAAATTATGTGTATGGCATAGTACGTGCAAATTGCGTTTGCTAGCGAATTGATATCGACTCGATATGTTATAAAAAGAAATATTCCGTCACATGACGGGGGAGCGAGACTATCAGCGACGATAAATTCTGTGCTAAATCGTTACGTCTAATCAGAGTTAGAACGAATCAATCGACGTATCAAAGGACGACGGATCGGAGACGCTCGGTAAACGTCATATCGCGTGAGATTGGAGGCACTCAATCAGGGAACCCTCATCTCACCAGGAATAATCGATTAACTTTTAGTGTTACATATGTTCGGATGATATCGAACGGCATTTACAGCACGTATAGAAATGTAAGCGTTTCGTGATTGACGATTTGCATCATTATACTTTCAATCAATATTAATTTCAATCGATCAATATTAGTTTAGTGGCGTATTGTTGTGTGCCTTAAGTGAAATGACATTCGTGTTAGTATTTATTCATAATGCCACTTGAGAGAGAGAGAGAGAGAGAGAGAGAGAGAGAGAGAGAGAATAAATTCCTTTTAATTATTCTTTCCAATAATTTATTAATTCTTACTCAATCAATTAATTTCTTATAACAATCGATCCTCTAACAATGAACCAATTTTGTACTGATCTAAATCTGTAAGAAGCATCTCTTTTATTCGACTAGAACTTCACGCTACAATTACTATAGAAAAGTACAATGGGTTTAAATATCGTCTCTCACGGAGAACACGTTACGATCGTAATTCAAGTTCAGGGGGAAAGACACTCCTAATAAATATCCTGTCCATTATACAACGCGAACCACAGTCAGAATCGCTTCAATTAGAGGAGGCTGCGCATTGAATCGGCTCTATCCGAAATTGCATCCAAACCCTTAAATCCTCGTATTTTTTCTGTTTCTCACCGCATACAGCAAGCAGCCCCCATGGCGGAGCCGATGAGGCTCGATTTCTCGCCCTACCGAGGACGGCGCGTGTGGCCACGACGCGACGCGACGGTGGCAGCAGCACGTGTGTAG